ACAGCTTTCTTATTGTTTTATTTTTCAGACCGCAAACATAATTTATGTTTAGCCTCTACTTGTTGTTGATCTCAACTTTGATCTTTTACCTGCGAATATTCATGGCCTTTTTTTCTTGGATAAGCATATGGTTCCTTATGTTTTGGGAGGTTAGTTGTTTTGTCTCTGTTTTTGTTTTTTCTGTGGGTGTCTTTGCTGCTGTTGGTGGTGGTTGTTGTCTCCTCCTTTTGGTGGTTGGTGTTTGTTCCTGGGTCCGTTGGTGGAATTGTTTTATACAGCAGCTATAAAAATAACTTACTTTATACAATAGCTTTATAAAATAGTAAGAAAGTTGTTCCAAACGAAACTTTATTCCCTGCAATATGTTTCCTGCACTCGATAATTTCTCACTTCTAAGAGTCTGAATTATAAAAATCCTTCAACTTTCTTTCCTAAAAATGGAACTAAATGATACTATTTAGCACATTTAAGAGAAAAAAATAAAAAAATCAAATTTCGCATACTTTAAAATGTGTGTGTGTGTGTGTGTGTGTGTGTGTATATATATATATATAGCACTTACAAGTCCTTAAAGGATCAAGAGCTCTCTAAAAATACAACAATAGAAAAAAAAAAAACTAATGAGCCTATGATCCACTAATACAACAAATATAATGATGAAAAGTCAAAAAATACACAAAGAAGCCAAAAGCAATCCAACTTAGGATTAAGACCAGCAAAAAAATGAAACAATCAGAGACTCCCAAAGGAAGAGCAACAATACAGATGAAGAGACAATAAAATCTACATAAATGTCTGAACAAAAGCCCACAGCCTTGTGAAAACCACCACCAACAAGCTCCCTACAAGCAACTAGAAACACAGTAAGCTAGGCAATAGAAGTAGGAAAACAACACCAGGGAAAAAGGTAAGGAATCCACGCCAATAGCCCTCTGACCACAACAAACCAAACCAATCAGAAACAGGCAAAGGAAAGGGCCCAGACAGCCAACTTGAGAAACAACCAGCTGCAACCAACCAAAACCACAACCAATACCCCACCATAATTGGATCACAATTTCAACAATGTACAAAATAATCCATGAATAAGGAGGTACAAAACTTTTATGATTTATATATTACACGCTACACAACAACTAATATGGAATGGGTGCACTATCCAAGCAGAGTTATTTGATGCTCCATATGTCTTTTGGAAGAAGATTCCAAAGGAAGTGTATGACATGTGGTTCAAGGAGTTTCAGGTTAGTAAATTGCAAAATTAATAATATAACATATCTTCGTATTTTATTATGATGAAAAAGAATAATTTTTTTCTAATTTATTGTAAACAATGAGAATTTTATTGGTTTCCTGCAAGCATAGTACTCGAATCAGAATAAATTTTAAAAAATACTGAGCAACTTGCCTGCGAGACATGTTCACTCGCATTAGGAGGACATGCAAGTGACCATTTTGTATTAGAGAGAGTGTATGGGCAGAGCTCAATGGTGCTTGGGACTGCCAAATTTTACAGTGAGGAGGGAGTAGAACAAACACAATCGAGCTTCTGACATCGAGGCTTAAGTAGCTCCCTCCATACTGCAGGCTCAATTCCAGACATTAAGCATAGATGACGATTGATAAAAATTTTAATAAATTTTAATATATATATATATATTAAAATTATATATATTAAATGTTCTCTAAGCTCATCTATTATCTGATTATTCATGTTCGACTGTGTTTTTTGAACATTCTCTAAGTTCACTGTCAAGTTAGCCACATGTTGGCTATATAAACTCTCATGGCTGCTTATGGAGTAGCCAGTAGCTGAAGAGGATTGTCCCTCATATGCATAAGCCATTTATATACTTTAAAATGTGATTATAACTCAAATTTATATTAAAGATAAAATATTTATGATATAAAAGACAAACCTAAAGATAATAAACGTTTAATTTCCTTATTAAATAACAGTTTCTAATATCATTTTCCATTTCTAATATTATTATACTTGTGTAATTAAAAACAATGATTTAGTTATATTTCATTTTTAATCAACTTAATAATAATACAATATTTTTTCACCAAAAATATGAATATAAGCAATTAATTAAAATATTGATTTTAGTCTTCTTGTAATTATGATACAAAGGAAAACAAATGTCATGAGATCCTCACATAAACAAGAATTGGAGCCAATATCACATTAATTATTTAAATTATCTAATTGATAAATTTATTTAAATTACATAAATAATAAAAATATTTGCAATTTTTTTCAAGCGATTAAAAATTTTGTAGATATTTTTATGAAATAGGCATGACATAAGATCACAATCATCAAAATTTCCTGATTTTAACATATAATTAACATCAAAACATAAAAGATATTTACAAAATAATTTTTTAAAGTTATTTTTATGAAATATAGAGAAATAAAACTTTAATACTCTTCTCTTTTTTTTTTTTAACAAAATATATATTAAATGCTACATTAAGAAGCTGTTTTGTTTTTATTTGTATTAACACTACGGGAAAACACGCGATTACCGTCGGATTTTCCGGCGGATATTTTTGCGCCGGCATTGACGGCGCAGGTTCCGGCGGAGTGATGCGACTCTTATTATTTTCTAAAGTATTTTTTATGTTAAAAATCTAATTAAAATTTTTTAATTTTAAAAATTAGTAATAAAACTATTTTAAATGAAGTGTTAATTAGGAGCTCCTGTCATAAACATTTTCCTAAATTCAATGTAGTTGTCATTTCTAAGTCGGTATTTCCTATTGATGAATATATATCATTCTCATTTTACCAACACTAATACGCAAACTTAAGTGTCAAATAACTGCAGTTCTGTAATTAGTTAGCATGGATTATAAGCCATATATGTAGGTCATATTTTAATTATTTAAGTTAAAATCTACGTATGCATGAAAGTTCTAATAATTAATTATATGAACAATTAAATTAATTAACTAAATTATAATATATATATGGCTAAAGAGAAAAGCAAACTGATGGTTTTCATTTTGATTGTTCAGTACTCCAACACCGACACAACTGCTCTCCTTCCCTCATCTACTGACACTGACAAGAAATGATTTAAAAGAAAGATTATATTTATCATTTGCATGCATGCAATTCCATTAATCTTATGTGTCAAGCCTTAATTAATTAGCAATCTTAGAAGTCTAGTTTACTGATTGATTATGATAATATTAGATATTTATGTGTGTAATTATGTCTATATCACTACAGAAAAATTACTCATGATAGGTAGATTTCCGCCGGACTATTTTCCGACGGATTACGATGAAATATTTCTTACTAATTATTAGACAGATTTTTCGGTGTAAACTTCCGAAAAATCCATCGGTAATACGTGATTTTCCTGTAGTACTGTGTGCCCAATCAAGCTAATTTTGTGATAACGTATCAACTGTATTTACAAAATTAATATATTATTGCCTCAAGTTACAATAATAATATTATATAAAACTTTGAAATTATGATAAAATATTAAATTTTTATTTTCCATTTTCATTAAATTCTAAATTATTAAGAGCAAATTTATGAGATTGTTTAAAAAATGCAAAGCATACTTTTCTGAAAAAGGTGTGAAGCAAACTAATAATGATTACATTTCATGAAAAAAGAAAAAAAAAACTTAAAAGTCCAAAAAAGAGGATAAAATGTTGCTTTTACAACTTTTTGAAAAAAAAGGTGATTCTATAAATTGATATATTACCACCTTTTCTTAGACAGTGTGACTAAACTCAAACTTACAGAAGTAAAATTAAAAAAAATTATTTTAATCACTTTGATAATGATTTAATTAATAATTCCTAAAACATGTGAGAAAAGCAAAGATTAGTGGACAACTTATATAATCCCATGCACCCTCTTACAAAGTTTTTGTTCATTCATTTCACCAACAATTCATTCAAGTACTTAATTACATACAATTTCAAAATTTTCACTATATTTAAAGCATATGCAAATGATTAGAAGTTATCTAATCACATCATATTTGTACAAGCGAAGACGATTAATTGAAATTAATATCTATCCATAAAGATAGCTCTTTACTCATACTTGTATGGATAACTTAGTAGAAGATTGAATTACGAGAATATGACTTAGGTTTCATTTGGGACGGTTTTCTTACTGTTTCTTAAAGTTGTTTTTTGGTAAAAATTTAATTTTTGTACAAAAAAAATGTTTTAAGAATAAGTAAGAAAACAATCTCAAACGAAGCCTTAGAATAACTTTATATCACAATTGAGTATTTGTCTTTTTGTTCTTGAAAAGGTATGGTTATTGTTTATGTTTAGAACCCCAAAAAATATCTTTTTTTTGGTGGAAAGTGTGATCGACAAACATTTTATCAGACTAATAATAATAATCAAATTTCCTTAAAAATAAACTTATAAAAAGTCCAAAAAGTGGATAAAATGTTGCTTTTACATATATATTTTTTTTAAAGAAAACTTACAAAAATTGTCAAATTTTAAAAAAATGAAACTATAAAAAAGTTGCCTTAATAATTTTGATAATAATTTAATTATTCACAAAACATGCTATATAGAAAGCAAGATGGGATCACATATCTAATCCATATTAAAAATCTAGTTTTAATGATACATTTCACTAATTAAAACCATCAAATACAATCTGATCAATATGCCATTTAATAGCATAAAAACTGTGAAGTGTGACTAATAATAATCACAGACTATCAAAAATTCTACTTTTACTAATATTTAAAACATATCTGATTAGAAAAAAATGATGTCTAATCACCTTATATGTTTGCCCAAACCAAGACGTTTCTTGCAACTTATTCAACTTCTCCTATAAGAAAAAAAAAAATTGTTACATTCTCTTCATCCATAATCCATTCATTCATGCATGCATGGAATGCTTCCATAAGCATGTATGATTACTAAGGGTTTTCAAGTAAGCTAGATCTATATTTAATGCGAAGGTTATAAGCTTGTAAAGAGAAGTGGCTAAGCTAGCTGTTCTTGTCCTGGAGATCGATGGGGCATCACTGCTGCAGTAGGCAGAAGGTGAAGAGGGGACTCTGGTCTCCAGAGGAAGATGAGAAGCTCGTCAGATATATCAACACCCATGGCCATGGCTGCTGGAGCTCTGTCCCTAAACAAGCAGGTCCTTTTCTAATTTCTGATCAATAGATCTATATATATTTTGTCTAGATCTATTTCTCTGCTAAATTTACTGTGTTAGCATATTAGGGTTGCAGAGGTGTGGGAAGAGCTGCAGGCTAAGATGGATCAATTATCTAAGACCAGATCTCAAGAGGGGATCCTTCACAGAACATGAGGAGAGAGTCATCATAGATGTTCATAGAATCCTTGGAAACAGGTGAACAAAACCCTAATTTTGTAAACCCTAGCTAAGGTTATGATATGCTTGGTTTGGACTTTGAGGAACAAAACGCTACATATAAGAGGTGAATCTTTTTAGGGTAAAAAAAAAATAGAGTTTTTTTTTTTAGATTTTTCTTTTTGAAAATAATGCTTCATAAAACAGCTTTTTATATTAATTTTCCAACCAGGCTCTTTATTGAAATGGATGCCGAATTAAAGAATGTTTGTAATTTACTTCTGAGAATCCTTAAGAATTTTTTATAAATCATAGGTCAAAAGATATAATTTGTTATACAAAATTCTATGAGAACTTTCTTCTAAGAAAATTTTCCTGCAACTTCTATTTATGACATTGCAATAAAGCACAAATAACCGAGCAAATTCATGTAAGAGCTAAGTTTATAAGGAAATTATATATAATAGAAACAAACCCTAGTTAAGTCTTTCCTTTGTCTTCTTCACGTTCTTAATTTCAGGTGGGCACAAATAGCTAAGCATTTACCAGGAAGAACTGATAATGAGGTGAAGAACTTTTGGAACTCATGCATCAAGAAGAAACTGATTGCTCAGGGCTTGGATCCAAAGACTCACAACCTAATGCCTAATACAAGGCCCCCTTTTATTAATAACACATCAAACATATCTCACTTTCCCCAAAACACTTGCACTCCCTTCACCATTAGTTCCAACATAAAGGAAATTGATTCAAGGAAGATGATGCCATTACAGACTTCTTCAAATGCTCTTTCATTGCATGACTCCATGGCCATCCTCCCCACCTTCCAGTACGAGGACCCTAATGTCCTGATGAGCTTCAAGGAGAATGTTTCTCAAGAATATAATATTAGTACATCCTCTTCCTCTCTTGATCATGCAAATATCATGCAGATATCTCCCAATCAACCAGATTTCATAGATGATCATTGCTGCGTTTGGACTACTACTCCTCTTGAGGAGGCCATGTTTGTTGATCAGGAATCAAAGCAAAATGGTGGAAGGCAAGGTCAGCAAGGAGAAGTACAGTGCATGGGGGAAAAGGGGGATCAGTTTAATGAGGTAATGATCAATGGAGATGCAAGCTTTGATCTTGAGCTCATGGAATCTGAATTGATGCCTTGTGGATCGGTTTTTTGTGGTGATAACTCCATAGAGCAACTGCAATGGGAATGCTAGCTAGCTAGCTCCCTTTTATGCATGCACAGTTTTCTTCAGAAATTGCCTCAATAGTTAAGGTTTTAATGAGGGAATATTGAACTGGCAATGGCAGTTCAGATTGAATAAATTTTCTTGTGTGAGTTTTATTGAAGTGCAATGTCCAGGTTTATCTTCTAAGCCCTCCAGGCCGCCGGAAAGTCCGCCGTAATGTTTCCGGCGAACATATCCGCCGAATGCTGCGTCGCAATTTCCAGCTTACATTTGTCCGCCGGAAAAATCCGACGATAATAGGGCATTTTCCTGTAGTGTTAATTATTGCTCATTGTGTATTCATTTGAATTTTTTTATATATATTTATCATTTCTGCGCCTGCCTTATACGTACGAGATTTCAGAGGACCAAATGGTGGAACTCCATCTTCAGTTTCTTTCCTCATTCAATTTGTATACGCTGATAATATTTGATGTATTCGCTTGAGTTTTGTTATTGCAGTTTATATTTTTCTATTCAAAATTAATAAATTTTTAACCTATTTATGTAATTTCTTCTGCCTTCCAAGTTCCCGAAGAAGAAATGGAGGAACTCCAAATCCATTGTGATTTTTTTTTTTTTAAGGAAACCCATATAAGACCTACGAATTAATAATAAAAAATAATTCCAGAAATAAAAGTAATAATTACAGGTTAGTTATTTTTGGTTGGTTGGTAATTAGTTAAATAGTATCACACACTTTGTTTTCGGTATTATTTTTGCAGGTTGAACTTGCATGATAAAAAGTTCATCACCTTTTTCCCCCACAACAAGAAGTTCATGGATTTCAAGGGTTCTGGCGGAATTTCCGGTGGACCAATCCGCCGGTTATTTGGGGGAATTCCGTAAGAAATTTTTTGCGGAAGCTTTTGTTTGAAAATTATGGCGCCAATTCAACTAAAAATCCGTCGTTTCATATGACAGTATCTTTAATTTTGGCCATTGTCCATCAGAAATTCGTTGAAGAATTTTCATATAGTGAATCAGACGGAATATATTTTCCTGCATGTAATATACTGACAAAATTTTGTCTATCAATAATCCACCGAAAAGTCCTATTTCAGTGGAAAATAACTCAATTTCTGACATAAAAATGCCGAAAAAATACCAATTTTATTGCCCATCACCTTAAATAATAATTTATTTTAAAACTCCTAAGAAAAAGGGCTATAATTAGTACCTAATTCATCAGTTCAACATCGGTCCTATGCATGGCAAAATAATCTCATTCAAGTTGTAAGGGTTTAATATTTTCATTCATAATTATATGTTTCTAACAACTCATGCACATCGTATAACATATTACAATAATTTGAACAATATGAACTAATATGCACAACAAGAAGGAATGGTATATAGTTCAAGGTAGAAAACAGTACACAGCTCACCTTGATCTGTTGGTTGAGAGCTTAGGCTTCTAGTTAAGAGGTATTGAATTCGAGTATATGTGTATGCGTTATGTGTGTGAGTTTGTCTTAAATGGCCTAAATGTCCAAAAAAAAAAAGGTAGAAAATAATAGGGAAAATCCTATGGATTAATATTAATAAATCAAACGATCAAAACTCTTAATATGTGTAGGATTACATATAAAGCTCCTTATAATGTTCGGGAACATTGTGTTAACAGAAAGATAAGAATTTAGAGAATATAATAATAAATTTGTGTAATTGTTTGTGGGGAGTGGGCGGCCTTTTATAATGCACTAAGATTGATAAATACAAGAATATAACAACTGTTAATAGAGATAATTATTCCAATTTGAAATAAGCTTTGATTTGGAAAGTTTTAATGGCTAATTGTTGTAATTGATTAGGGAATAGATTGTTTCTCTAATTAAGTTGATTTGATTGGATATTTGATTGATGCATTAATTAGGGGATCTAATTATTGCATTAATTGGGGATTTGATTGATGCATTAATTAAGAGGATCTAATCATTGAATTAATTGGGGATTTGATTAGGAAGCTTTTTCCTAATTTAGTTTGATTCAAATCTATATATAGAGCCTGGAGGTTGTTGTTGAGTGCATGAGAAAAAGTGAGAGCTTGAGAGCATATTGTGATTACTATTTTTTTCCAAATTAGTGAAATCATCATCCTCTCCCCGTGGACATAGGCATCTTTGCCAGACCACATAAATCATTGTGTTTGTGTTGTGTGAATTTTATTTCAAATGCGATTATTTGCATGATAATTGGTATCAAAGCTGGATTTTTGTGGGTTTTACTGTAGAAAATTAGAGAGTTTGACAAAGGTTCTATTCGTCATTTTGGAACGAATTGACTATTCATTCATTGTTGGGAGCTGAAAGGAGCATGATTGGTGCAATTTAGGTGACATGAGACAACTGCAATTTGGAGGAGCCTATGTGATCCGGTGAAATCGAGGATACATCCACCTCAATGGTGCAGAAAGCGCCAATCTATCAAGTGTTTACACATCATGTCAAAATCGATGTGATGAAATTTAATGGCAACGGGAACTTTGGCATGTGGTGATGTGATCATGAGGTGATGGATATGTTGTGCTCTTTGAATCTGGAGTATGTTATGGATGGTGATAAACATCCTGAAGAGATGTCTGAAAGAGGTTTGCTCAAGATGAACCAGAGTGCTTGTGGCTTGATCAGAAATTGCTTATCTCAAGAGATTAAGTATGTGATGATGATGGAGACTTCGGTTGTGAAGCTGTGGAAGACTTTATATGACAAGTATCTAAACTATTCTATAGGTTTTAGATGAGGCATGAGAATATTGCAATTAATGAGCATTTGAATGACTTCACAAAGTTTTTAACATATATTCTGAATTTGGATGAAGATGTTGGGGATGAAGACAAGGCGCTCCTTCTGTTGAATTCACTCCCGGATGAGTACAAAAACTTTATGATGAAGCTCATTTATGGTAAGGAGATCTTGAACTATTAGAGGTAACTACTGCATTAATGATTCACGAGTTCCAACGTCATGATAAGGAGCTAAGTCTTCAAAGATGGATTCAGCTGAGGCTCTCACACTTCAACAAGGAAGATCTAAAAATAAGAAAAAGGGCGTCAACAAGCAGGGCAGGTCTCGTGGGCACAGTCTTGAGAAAAATCAATTTGCTTTATACTTAGAGACTATTCATTAGAAGAAAGATTGTCTGAAGCTGGAGTAGAAGGGAAAGAGGGTTTCCACTGAGGCTAATCTTTTTGTGGAAGAGCGTGACAAAATTCAGATGTATCATTATGTATAGTTTCTCAAAATTTATATTCCGATGGTTTATGCTAGATTATGGATGTTGGTGCTACTTATCACATTTGTCCCACTTGATAGTGGTGTTGTGACAATAAGAAATGATCAAGCATGTCGTACAGTTGGTGTAGCTAGGGAGCATATTCATCAAAATGCTTGATGGTACTGTGTGTGAAACCTGACTGATGTGAGGTATGTTCTAGATATCAGAAAGAATTTATTATATGTTAGTGCTTTAAAGACCAAGGGCTACAAGGAAGCCATTGAGGCATGAATTCTGAAGATATATCATGGAGCATTATTTATTTGAAAGGAGTTCATCACCCAACCTTTATTACCTTTAGGGAAGAACAGTGATTGAATCATCTATTGTTGCTGATGATTCTTCTGATGCCATTGTATTGTAGCATATGCAGCTAGCTCTTATCGAATAAGCTTCTCTTATGACCTTGGTGAAGCAAGGATTGATTAAAGGATAAAGCACCTACAAGCTCGATCTTTATGAATATTTTGTGTTTGAAAAGAAAAAATATATATATTCTTTGGTACTGTCATCCATATTATAAAGGGCATCTTGGAGTATGTTCATACAGATGTTTGGGGCCCAACAAAAATATCATCATTCGGTGGGCTATGTTAGTTGTCTTTTTTTATGATGATTACTCCAAATATATTTGGGTGTACACCATAAGGCATAAAAAATGAGGTATTATAGATTTTTAAAACTTGGAATAAGTATATTAAGACTAAGACTGATAAAAGAATCTAATGTATCATGTCATATAATATGGGCAAATACACTTCATATGCATTCTTGCAGGAGTGCTAGAGATAGGGTATAGAGCATCACTTCACTTCTAGAGAGACACTACAATTGAATGGGGTGATAGAGAGGATGAACTAAACTTTGGGAGAGAAAGTTTGGTGTATGTTATCAAATGCTAGAATGGATAGTCTATTGGGTTGAAGAATTAGACAATGACTATCCCTTGGTGAACTGTCTATCTTCTGTAGCTATTGAAAAGAAGACCCCAAAGGAGATGTGGTCAAGGAATCCTACTAGATATTATCAACACTTGAGAGTGTTTGGGTGCTAGCTTACTATCATGTTCAGAATGATAAATTAGAACTGTAGGCAAAGAAGTTGATCTTTATTGGCTTCAGGCACGGAGTCAATGGCTTCAATTCTATGATTCAGTAGAGAATAATATTATGATATGCAAGTATGTTACTTTTGATGAGGCTAGCATGTTGAAGCTTCGAAACTCTAAGTAGGTGGAGAGTTTTATTGGGACCACATATGCGCTACAGAAGTTAGAGTTTGATATAAGTACTCCATTAGAGGCAGATCATTTCTACCACGATACCTGATTTTGTTGTAGATCAAAAGGTAGAAGATAATGTTGAGGATGAGATTCCTGCTCAGGAGTCGATCTATTACGAGCTGGAATAGGATAAGGCGCCAGAATATTCCAAATTTAGCTTGGTTGAGATATCACATTACATTTGCACTTTCATCCATAAATATCCTAATCACTATACAAAAGCAATGGACAATCCTGATGGTGATCTATGGAAGAAGGCTATGGATGAAGAGATGGAGCCTCTTTAAAAGTATGCTACTTGGAGATTGGTGAAGCTTTATCCATGAAGAAAATCTATACGTGCAAATGGATACGTGCAAAGAAAGAAGGATCACATGGAGCTGATGTGTAGTAAAAGGCTAGGTTGGTGGCAAAAGGCTATGCACAACAAGATGGGATTGCTTATGACGAGGTGTTCCCCTTGGAGGTTAAGAATCCCTCAACCCGTGGTTACTTAGTACTGGTAGTATAGTATAGCCTGATTTTGGAGCAGCTCGATCCATATATTGCATAAGCAGGTGGAGTTGTACGTAAGTAAGCTAAGAAAGAGTCATTAGCAAGCTGTGAAAAGTTTCTTGAGGTATTTAAATGGTATAG